CTAAAGAAGAATTGAAAAAAGAGAGAGAGTTCTTCAGACTCTTAATGAGACTATAAATAAAGGCTTAGTGTGTGATTTATTAAACTAATTTTTTGGCAGAGAACCATTACATTGTTAGACCATTTCACTTTCTTTTACTTCCATCACGAGTCCCAGCAGTCAGCTTTTTTTTAGGGCCATTAAAAATGCATGTGTGTGTATATATGTATATATAAAGAAATCAATGTTCTTCTGTTGAAAAGTAACTGCACAAGAGCTATTGCAGATGTTATAATGAATTATAGACCACAATATAAGATGCGTGAGTGCTGCGAGGCTGGCTAGGCTCACTCACTAGCTTAGTAATAGTCTTCTGTCTCCCAGCCTTGCAATATCAATGATTTGACTTCATGCCTCTGTAAAATGACAAATTGTGTGTGTCCCTGATGTTTTATTTATTTTTAATTTTAATTTTTTTAGAGACAGGGTCTTGCTATGTTGGCCAGGGTGGTCTTGAATCCTAGCCTCAAGTAATCCTCCCACCTTGGCCTCCCAAAGTGTTGAGATTCCAGTCATGAACCACCACACCATGCCAGTTCCCTGATTTTTGAGGTCATTTCAAATAGTTGAAATCAACCTTCATGTCCACAAATACCCAAAGAAGTCTACCATCTACACAATCCTTTTAGAATCCTATCACTTTTATCTGAAAATATTAATTAAAATGAAATGATCACAAAGAAAACAAAAAATTGTGAAAACTCTAGGCTCATGCCTGTAATCCCAGCACTTTAGGAGGTTTAGGCAGGTGGATCACCTGACGTCAGGAGTTCGAGACCAGCCTGGCCAATATGGTGAAACCCTATCTCTACTAAAATTACAAAAATTAGCTGGTTATGGTGGCATGCGCCTGTAATCCCACCTACTAGAGAGGCTGAGGCATGAGAATCACTTGAACCTGGTAGATGGAGGTTGCAGTGAGCCAAGATTGTGCCACTGCACTCCAGCCTGGGCAATAGAGTGAGACTCTGTCTCAAAAAAAAGAAAAAAAAAAACTTATGAAAGCTCTATAGGTGTTCCAATGAATAGATGTTTTAAATTGGTCTTTGAACTCAGTTCCAGGGGGATATCAGGTATTTTATTTATTTATTTATTTGTTTTTTGAGATGGAGTTTTGCTCTTGTTGCCCAGGCTGGAGTGCAATTGTGTGATCTCGGTTCACTGCAACCTCTGCCACCGCAAGCCTGCCTCTGGCAGGACAAGCAATTCTCCTGCCTCAGCCTCCTGAATAGCTGGGATTACAGACAGGTGTGAGCCACTGCGCCTGGCCCAGATATTTTCAAAGTAATATTATATCTATTCCCTTAGCAACAAACAGGGAATATTAAGCACAAAGTGATGTAAAAATATTTTTGTTAAGGTCAGTGAGCAAATCAAGGGAACAAATAAGGTTCTAAGTTGTGAAAGAGGCACCCTATGCCTATATGTGGAATGCATTTTCCTGCAGAGACTGTTTTACATAGTGATTAAGTTTCCAAGTCAACCTGAAAAAAAAAAAAAAAAAAAAAGCCTGTTTCACCCATATTGTAGCTAAACCTTTCAATCATTAAATGCTTATGCTGCACTGACAGTAGGTGTGTGTGAGCAGCATATTAGCAGGTAATAGCGTTGCTGGTGGGCCCCTGCCCTTAAAAAGATTGCAGTCTAGTGACTGAGTGTGGTGCCTCATGCCTGTAATCCCAATACTTTGAGATGCCGAGGTGGGAAGATGGCTTGAGCCCAGAAATTGGAGACCAGTCTGGGCAACATGATGAGACCCCATCTCTACCAAACAAACAAACAAACAAAAAAGACAGGCATGATGGCAAGCACCTATAGTCCCAGCTACTCAGGAGGCTGAGATGGGAGGATCGCGTGAGTCCAGGAAGTCAAGGCTGCAGTGAGCTGAGATCCGGCCACTGCACTCCAGTCTGTGCAACAGAGGGAGACCCTGTCAAAAGAAGAGAAGAGAAGAGAAGAGAAGAGAAGAGAAGAGAAGAGAAGAG